GTTCCGTGCGCCTTGGTGTTTAGTCATGCCGGCCACATGACCACGGAAACGTCTTCGGACAGCGCTGGCTCTTCGGCTTTGAAACGGAGATGAGCACCGCAACCCTAGAGTCGGATTCGACTGGCTTTCGAGCAAGGGAACCTTTACCTTTATATTCCCCTCAGAACAAATTTCCAACGCATTCCAGGGGTTTAGCACCCAGGAGTTTAGCAACCATATAGCATCATTTGGCCAGACAGGTTCCCCCCTCTCTCTTTGGTTTTTTTTTTTTTTTTGTGGGTTTTTTGGTCTGCTTTGAAACTGCATTTGTGATTTCAAAATGATAGCTACCATGCAGACCAAAGTAAAAAAACCATTTACTGATGATAAGAAGACCTGTGCGTCTTCCTTTTTGCCTGAAAATCCCCTTCTCCTCCTAATATTTATCCTACTTTCAGCTCGAGACAGTGATTTTACTGGGATTGGCTACAGTTGGAGAGTGCCGTTTGGCAGGGCTGCTTGTCAAAGATGAGGTTCAAGGAGGGCAGATTTCATTTTGTGGCTGTTGTTGCTGTTCTGATTGGGTTGGAAAATTAATTCTCACTCTCATCCCTCCCCCAACTCTGCTTTCTCCTCCCCCCCCTTTCAGTTACAGTGGTGCTGTTTGCGGCGCTAAGGCGACAGCGGAAGAAAGAGCCTTTGATCATTTCCAAAGAAGACATCCGAGACAACATTGTCAGCTACAATGACGAAGGGGGCGGAGAAGAAGACACCCAAGCGTTTGATATTGGCACGCTACGGAACCCTGAAGCCATAGAAGACAATAAATTGCGCCGAGACATTGTGCCGGAAGCGCTTTTTGTGCCACGCCGGACTCCAGTGGTACGAGACAACACTGATGTCAGAGATTTCATTAGCCAAAGGTTAAAGGAAAACGACACAGATCCCACAGCGCCCCCTTATGACTCATTAGCGACTTATGCGTATGAAGGCAATGGCTCCGTGGCTGAGTCCCTCAGCTCTTTGGAGTCAGTGACGACCGATGGAGATCAGGACTACGATTACCTCAGTGACTGGGGACCTCGATTTAAAAAGCTGGCCGATATGTACGGCGGAGCAGACAGCGATAAAGACTCTTAATTACGTTGCCTTTTTTTTCTCATTTTCAAGAAACAGCATTGAAATGTGTGAGCGTTGCAATTTCTTTCTATTTATCCACAGTTCTTCGAAAGGGTTCTCTGTTCTGCCAACTCAAATCGTTTCCGTGACTGCAGTCTCTGTGGATCCAATGCCACTTCTTTCCCCACCACAAATATAAAGCAGCGGTTCCATAAGAAGAAGAAAGAAGTCTTTTCTTTCTTAGCCTATCTCGTTCACGTAGGCAGTCAGAACAGGCACAATGACAAGAGAATTGAGGGACAAGAGAAACGGAATAATTGTTTTAACTTGTCCTGCTTATCTTGTAAATTGGATTATCTTGCTGGGATAGTTCACCAAATAATCCCACTGCGTTTTCGTTGTTTAGCTCAGACATATTTTCTCTAGGTCGTGTATCGTCACATCCTGTTGTAAAGGAAGTACCTTGGCTTAGCTTAAAGTATTCTAGTAAAAAAAAAAGAGGGAGGGAGGGGGTGTCACTCCTCCTAAAGCCACTACCAGCCAATAAGAAATGAGGCTATTTTTCAAGAGTTTAAATGATCCATCGGCCATTCAGACACGAACGTTAATCTTGGGTTGGCCACTTCTTCAAAGCATTAAACCACATTAGTGGTGGACAATCAAGAGGAGGAGGAAGGAAGAAGTATGTCTCCCAGGGAGCTTCCCCAAAGGGTTTACTATAAGGGTTTACTACGTGTAATTGTCGCCGTGCACTGCAAACACTAGGACTTTTAAGGTGTTGTCTTCCAGGGAATGTGTAAGGAGAGAGGCGAACCCATGCTTGAGAACGTGATAAAGGAATAAGGCTACACGCAACGTCACAAAGAGTACTCAGTGGTCCGTGGATGCCATACAAGCTCCGTTTTTCGTATTGTCGTCCATCTGAAGCGCAACAGTATAGACAACACTCACGCGTGATTTCCCCATGGCCTTCCTTGCCTGCCTAGTCTCAGCCATTGCTTTCTTCAGCTGAGAAGCAAAAGGCCCAGCTGCTGCAAGAGGTGGATTTGGCGGCAGTGTCTGTGTTCCCTGAGTGTTCGTGGGTGGGGGGGGGGAGAGAAGGCCACAGCGGCAGATTTAAAGTAACTTAAATAAAATAGATATGACAAGATCAGTGAACATGTGGGGAAGGGCAAAAATGACATGTCGACCTTTGATTCACCGTTAGAAGCAAAAGAGTTTGAAGGCTGTTCGTAGCTGACCGATCCCTCTTTCTAGTATAGGGCAAAGTTAGAGTCCAGTGGCGAATGGGATACAGCCAGGAATAAGAACTGGAGTTCTGCGTTCTGTGCAGACAGTTGCATATTATTTGTTCCAGGGCTGGTTCCAGGTTGGGGGGGGGGCTGGGCAGGTAGTTCCCTGGGTGGCCCCTTTGCACCCTTTCACCTGTGTGTCTCATTACCCACCCGTGCATCTTACCCTGCTCACAAGCCCTCTGCCCGCGCTAGGGTTGCCAGCACCAGGTTGAGAAATACCTGGAGATTTTGGAGGTGGAGCCTCAGGAGGGCGGAGCTTGGGGCGTAATGCTGTGGAGTCCAGCTTTCCAAAGTGGCCATTTTCTCCATGTGACATGATCTTCGTTGCCTCTGGAGATCAGTCATAATGGTGGGAGATCTCCAGCTACTCAGGGCCGGCCCTAGCTTACTTTGGACCCTAGGCGGGGATCCCTTCTGGGGCCCCCACCACCACCGGTGCGCCCACCAATTTTCAAAAATAAATGCATTTTAGGAAGAATGAAAAACACAAATAATCAAGAAACTCCCAGAGTACGGGGCCGGGTGCAGTTGGGTGCCCCTAAGGGCCGGCCCACTCTAGGCGATCGCCTAGTCCGCCTAGTGAGTGAGCCAGCCCTGCAGCTACTGCCTGGAGGTTGGCAACCCTAGCCCATGCTCAGGCAGCTCCCCTGCCCACAGCCCTTTCCCTGATGGCTCCGGGCAGTGTTTGCAGCTGGACACGCGGGTGGTGAAGTGCTCTTAAGTGAGCAGCGGGGAAATGACACATGGGGGGGGGGTTGGCAGCAGTGGGCCCTACCAGAAGCTCTGGGCCCTGGCAGCTCCCTCACCTGATGGTACGCGGACACCATCCCTGATTTGTTCATTGAAGCTGGGAAGCGAGAGTAAGCCAAGTGATTTAGAAAGCTGCTTGTGTAAGGCTTTGTTCCACATCCCACAATGGCTTGTTTTTGTACAATCCTCACTTCACAAAGACCAGCGAGAGTCCATATGTTCCTTTCAGCACAGGTCCTTGTTGGGGGCATGCATTTCGTGACCACCATTGGGCATAGGGACTCAGCCATGTAGCCAGCACCTGAGTCAGGAATCCACAGTGGCCATGAAGCGCATCCATGAAGGGATTTTCCACCGAGTGAATGCTTGGAAAGACAGCAAGGCTATCTTCTGATGGAACAAGGCAACAAGACCAGCTTTAAAGGCTAAGCTTGCAGTGAGTAAGGGTCAAATGTTATTTATAGTGAAAAGGTGGTGCTAAAATTATGAAGGACAGCCATAGCCAACACTAAGACCAATTTCACACAAGAGCTGCGCCACGGTCGCGCCTCCCTTTGCCCCGCTTCTAAAATCAGGCAAAGCCGTGGGTCAAAATGCGGCCGCACGGCTTCGAGTGGGAAATTGACCAATAGAAGCGGGACAAAGGGAGGCGCGACCGCGGCGCAGCACTTGTGTGAAATCGGTCTAAGTGTTTGATTTTTCAGGGCTCTGGAAGCAGGGCTTTTGTCACATTCGTCCACCTGTCGTGGATGAGCGTCCAGGCTCAACAGAGGGTTCCATTTGACCTCTTTTGATGGCTCTCTGCTTTCTCTACCGGCAACATTTTAGATGGATTCATAAATATGTTATCATTTTCAGATTACAGTCGGCGTGCTCTTCTGATAATTATATCGGTTTTTAATACGATCTTACTTTCCTTGTTTATCTAATGTCAAGAGTATAAGTGACCCGTATTGCACTCTTAAGAGGCTGTTATCACTTGATATGTATAGATGTGGAGGGAGCCAGAACTCTGTGAGCAGAGGGACCTATTAATTGTCAGTCTGCCCTTTTCCATCCTGGTTAAGTTAGTTAAGACAGCCGGTGGGTGTTCAGCTTTTTCTAAGGCGAGATCCCACATGACCTGCGTAAACTTTTCAGGGGGTCTCTAAAACACCTGCAGGAACAGCTCGATCTGGTCATGCTGTCCATGAAACACCCCAAACCCTCATATAAAAAGTCAGATTTCTTGGAATTTAACTCATGAATTTGCATACTCGTTATAATGACTGCCGGATGGAGAACAGCTGGATCCCTTTGGCTCGATTTGTGCCAGCATTGTATCTTATCAAATTGGTGGGGGTTTTAACGTTGGGGGAGGGGAGTGTTTGTTTGGTTTGTCTGCAGTCCGGTTGCAGGCAATGTGCGGAAACCCTGTAGGGTTTTCAAGGCATGAGACATTCTGAGATGGTATGCCACCCGTCTGCTTCTGTGTAGCAACCCTGGGCTTCCTTGGTGGTCTCCCATCCAAGTACTAACCAGGGCCAACCCTGCTTAGCTTCCCAGGTCTGATGAGATCAGGCCAACCTAGACAGGGCTGGATTGTATTCACACCATTAAAAACACTGATCTCTCTTTGCCGAATCTCTCCCAAACCATTCGGATCCAGTTCTAATGGTATACGCCAGCAACAGCAGGTATATTCATGCAGAATTTGGTGGAAAACTGCCATAGACATGAGTCTTTATCTTGGCATGCATCTTCTCAGCAGTATAA